CTAACACTAACGGTTGGAGAAGTGCCAAAAACTGTCTCTACCCTCAACAGATCGTTGTAGAGTTAGAAAAGCCCTCGAGAATACGAAAAATACAAATTTTATCCCATCAGTGTTTGATTGGTAGGTCGTTCAAGACTTCACAAATTGCTTATTTGGTAGCTTCTAAAGTTGAATTTTTCGTGGGAGACACATATGGCGATGATACATTTAACATGAGTACATCCAGCTTTCAAAGACTTGGGTACGAATCAGTTTTAATAAATTTTGTAATTTTTTCAGACATGTTGAACTTTCGAACAATGAGGCGACTAACTTTAAAGCCAGAGAACTTAAATCCGTTCATGTTGATGCAAAAGGAACGTACTTTCAAATATTTCTTTACAAAAATTATGCAAATAATGAAAATCAGTACAATCAAATTAGTGTTATTGCTCTCAATTTTATTGGAGAACCAGAGGATTTACAATATAATAATGTAAAATTAAATGAATTTTCGGCTGATAGGTAAGCCTGTGTAGGTTTGCACAATTTGATGCATTTTATTTTAGTGTTAAAAACATTTCTCCTTTGGATGATTTGGCATTTGATATATATCAGGATCCCCAGTTGAGCGATATTATTCGACGATTGGAGCATCAAAAGCTAGAATATGCAAGTCGTGAGTGTCAACTATATTTTAATGTATTATTATCTATAATTCACTTATTGTGGAATTTTTAGAAGAAAATTTCGATATGGCAAAGAAGACTCGCGACGCTATTCGATATATTCAAGACGTATGTCTGTTTTTTATTTTTTATTGAGAAAGTGACTTATTCACGTCCTATTAAGGTTTTATTAGTAATAACCTTAGTCCAGCCTCAAGGCTGTTGTACAGAGAGACGGTCTTGACTCCTAGTGAAATGGTAGGGTGGCGATGTTTAAACTCATCACACCTTCTTTTTCAAGAACGAAATGATATGCAACTTAAAATAGGTTTAAATATCGGTAAATGGGCAGAAACTCCCCGCAAAGGCACATCTGGTTTCATTCTCTGGTTAAATATTCCTAGCATTGGTTGGCATTTATTCTGCTTAAGTGAACATCAGTTGACTACGCACAATGTGGATAATTAGTTTTTGGATGTAAACCAAAAAGATAGTTATAATATTCCCTTCTGCACTTCCTATCCTGTCTTTTTCTCATTGATAATTGCGGCAAAGCTGCCATTCGCTGAACCTTTATTTGTGTCGAATCATGTGAAAGCGTTTGAATAAAACTTATAATCATACCGTCATAATTTTCTCTTTAAATGTTGATTAGCGCTCCAGAATCAACAGCTTGTTCATTTTTTTCTATTATGTCATACTTACATTTTCTTCTTTTTTTGATGATTCACCTTTCTGGATCTGTGGTGATTAATCCACCGATGCCTTCTCAATGTTTTTTTGAGATAAGTCGATGACACGGATAGGTATCCTCACATTGCATGTTATCTTTAATAAAATGACTCCAAGGATTCATTATCTACATTCCCCTCAAAATTATATGCTATTTTTCATTTCCGAATTGCTCCAAATTAGTCATTACTTATATATGTTTTTGGGTCATTTAAATAATACTTGGGATATAAGTGATTTATCTTTTAAAGGAAATATTTCCTTCAGCATTGACAAAAATTCTGATTAAAAGCAAGGATGATTAGGTAGGAAATTTCAGCATTTGTAAGTCTCAAATTTATTTGCGACTTGAGATGAATGAATTGGATTTGAGTCTATGCCAACAAATATCAACGTATTCTTCGCAGTAATTTTGGTTTTAAAACGCAATATCGTTTATATTCCCATTTTATTGTGCCTGCTTTCAAGGCAAGTGAAAAGATCTGCCGCCTTGAATTTGAGAAACAGGAAGCTTCAAAAGTCGAGAATTACGAGGAAGCAAAGGAGAAGAAGGAACAAATCCATCAAATTCGTGATGAAATGGCTCGAAATATTGATCTAGATGCCTTACTCAATGCAGGACCACGTCCTCAGCACTACACTAGACATATTGGGGTAATTTTAATCGTATTATTGGAAGGTTCTGGTTCAGGTTTTAATTGGCTTAATTCATATCTAGCCACCTCCACCAAAGTCAATGAGTAAGCTCGCTTCATTTTTTTCCCTGTTCATTGTTGTTTCGTTGTGTTCACTATACGTAGCACTCATTTGTTTGTCTGTTCTTGTCTTAATTGCTCTTAAACTCTCTTTTTTCCTGCTTTATCTTAGTTCCTATTCAGCAAGATAACTTTCGCCATTCAGTAGAAAGCCAAGGTGAATTGGAACAGAATTATGATCGCGATGAACAGGAGGTCAGTTCATTTAATTCCTCGAGAAGTAGTGGAAGTGGTGTATTTCAACCAAATCAATGGCATAGCTCGGTGGACGAAAGACCGCTGCCAGCGCTGATGAAGAAACAGTTGAATAATAGCACCCATAGCAGTGGAAGTAGTAATCAGGAGCCGCTGGTCACAGAAGAAAAATGGTCTCTCAAAAAGGATGGCGATAATGATGATCAGGAGTTACCTGAGGCTACACTGCAACAAGCTGGAATTGCTATTGAAATTGTTGGCCTGCCCCTAGTAAGCCGTTAATCTTCCTGCCTGATTCTCATTTCCCATCAGTTACATTTAACGCATGTGGAAGGACAGTGTGTTAGAATATGCTTGGAGGGAATTTCTATGCCACTTCGGCCAGAATTACATTGTACTGTAGTATGTATTATGCATGTCATTAAGCTGATAGCCTATGCCATCAAAATAAGATAGATCTACGACAAAACTGCCGATTTATGCATTGAAAAAATTTCGAGACATTTCCTTGATGAAACCCTTAGGGAAAAAATGATTAATTCTGACTGTTGAACTACGGTAGTCTTCTTCACTTAAATTACTAAAATTATTATTCCCCTTAGCTAATATTCACACGTTTTGAAACATGGAGACTGTTTCTAATATCAATATGGCTCCGATTTTATACGTAAAAGGTTATAATTTTCTAATTTGATTATCAAAAGTTTTCCCCAGGGGAATACGAAGGCGTGTCTTGCTTGCAAACAAAAGGTACGCCTATAAGTCGCCTTGTAAATCTGTTGATTTGAGAATACCTTTTTCATTATCATACAATCGCGATAATTTTGTTTGTAATTGGGATGAGTTATTTTAGGGTGAAGCATGCCACTCATGAGCCTTCTGATAAACCTTGTCTTGCTTTAATTTTTAATATCATGTTTAGGACTTAAAGATTTATAAAAATATTTGATTAAATTTGTCTTCTTTGTTAGAGTTGTTGCCTTATATTGGATTTATGTTTTATCTGTAGTAATCTCGGTTGTTCATTAAATAGAAGCAATAAATGAAATGTGAAAAACGCGATAAACAATTCTTCTATCTACTTCATTTTCCTTTTCTCCTGGTTGCTATGACTTTTTATACCTCTATTACTAGATCTTGAGTTAGTTGAAAGGGCACTACTGCACATTTGCTAATTATTTAGCAAGTAGTCCATATAAGCATCCACGTTACAGTATGTGCTTTGGATAATCCAGAACAAATGAGATGTCAAAGGCTCAATTGTATAGGAAATCGATAGATTGCATCTGCACGCATCTGCGTATTTAACAATAACACATCTTGGCCAACAACGGGATAAAGATAATTAAACTGTTCACGTCATTACAAATTTCGTTCCCACTCAGAAATTGAACTTCGTCGTACTCAAAAGTCTATATCTATCAAGCTTATTTTATCCTTCAACAGTAATCATGATCTCATTTTTTTTTGATAAAGCAACATATCACATTCCTTATAAGTGGTAATAAATTGGCATTGTCTGATTGTCATCTCTAGGTTAAAATGTTCTACAGTCGATCATGGAAACTTCGGGAACAAGCTTTGGCAGATCTCGAGAAACGAATCACAAAAGACCCCCTTCCTCCACCTGCTTCAATGGCCGCCGTTTCCTCCGAACCAGATCCCGTGGGAGAATTACGCGCCACCACTTTCCTTCTCAAAAAGGCTCTTGGCGAGCAGGTAAGTCACCGATTCGTAATAATTTCAGTGATTCATCATGCTTTTGGTCAGCCATTAGTTGATGCATAGGAAGAATGCTAATAGGATACAGGCACTTAATGGTGCGAGGCAAAGAGCAATTCCTATTAGTTTGGACACAAATAAAGTTCAACCCACGATTACCCAGGTTGGTTAATGAATAACTTACCATATAAGTGCAGAATTGGTCAGCATTGACGCGTGTCAGTAGAATTTTAAGAACTGGGGGATTTTAATCGATTCAGTCCCGATATATTCAATGACGCAAATTTGCAGTCACACAAGAGTGCTTAACTTGACCACCGCAGAGTCACTGCTATGCAATTATCAATTAAAATGGAAGATTGTGAATTATTACATGTATTTTAGGTTCTACCTGTCTACCGCAAGGCACTTGAGATGATCCATCCCACAATTGTTGAATTCAGTGAGCGCCATCGTATCGCTAAATCGGAAGTATTAGCTTCCATCGATAAAATCGTACGAATTTTGCTTCAACGCACTGGTGATTCCTCTCTTCGAGTCCGTGATATGGCCAAAGCTCAGCTGACAGAAATGGGCAAATGGGCAGTTGTAAGTACTCTATTTTTCTGTTACTTTGTGTTGTCTATTCACTTAATACGAATTTGTTGGCAATGAAACTCCCATTAACATTACGTCATTGTCTAGATTCGACAAGGAAGTGGATTTTGGCATGAAATTCTGCGTCCATTTCAACCGACCACTTTAGAAAGGCTGGTCGTGTGCCAGCTAGAGATTGTGAGCGATATCTACGCCGATATGACATCTCCGGATGGTTTAAGTTCGTGCCCTTGCGCGGAAGATTTCATCTCGTTTGCTGTACAGGCTCTTGAGCATAGATCTAATGAGGTAAGTTGTGTTGCTTAAGTTATTTACTTGTCGCCATGGCAACAAGATTGATTTACAACTCCCCTTAAGACTTCGGTTATAAATACCCATAGGCTAAACGGGCGCTTATTCGGATGGAGGTAAAAGTTGAAGTGCAGTCTTACAGCTTGTCTCTATTTGGGACTGAAGCTTGACTCTCCCCATGGGCACTTATTTGGGTGAGCGGTTATTTGGTTCCAAAAAATAGTTTTATGAAATGGAATTTTCCGTTTAACCGCCATGGGTAGATTTTCGGAAAACCCCGGTAGTTACATAGGCTATGTGATACCTGCCTGTCTAATTGTCTTTGTGTCTGTCTGCTCAAGATTAACAGCAACCTTCTGTGTGAAGAGCCATTAGTACATGCATGTGCTCCCCCCACCTTACTCACACATTCTAGCTTTACCGTGATGATGCATGACTTTGGTGTTAAAGTATGGGCAGTACAATTCAGATGTTGTGTTTTGATTTAGATGACTTCATATCTGGTTGGGTAAATGACCAACCCTATTGTCAGATTTGTTTGATAATGGTGTTGGCAAATTGGGATTTTCTACAAATTATAATCCAGAATATCTTTTCTCTTATCAAATTTAGTGTTGTTTATGTTTCAGTAAACTCACTTTAAAACATAACATTGTCGTTAAATGTTTCTCGTTTGTCTATCTAACTAGAAATTATCGATAGGATAGGATATAATATGCTGTAGGCAAGACTTTTCCCCATCTAAGGTATTTATTTATTTCAAATGGCAGGCGTTATGGTACGTATCATTAGCCCTTTAGTTGACTTCGGGCTTCACAGAAAGGAAGATGAACATCAAAGTGGCAAAAAGTCGAGAGGGGGATAGAACAATGTTTCACAGATGTAAAAGAGAGAGAAAAGGTAAGGTAAGATGAGTACTGTGAAATTATTCGAATATGAAATGCAATGCGGTCATGGTAGTTTGAAGTGAGAAGTCAACTACCGATTGATAGATATTTTTGCCGTATGAGTATACGTTGCCCAGGGTGCATCACGTGGAGGTAAGTCGCTAGTAGTTCATGATTCATCGACACTTCGATTTTTGATTAGATCTTTTTTTCTGTGAATGTCTGCAAAGTTATTTTAATTGACTGGTGGTTGAAATAGGATTTGACTCAGCTTCTTACAGACAAGTTAATTTCCAAAATTAATAATAAAAAGGGACCAAGTATTTACTTGATATCGACTTAGAAAGAATTAGAGCGCGAAGAAATGAGTGAGAAAAATGGTTGAAAATATTGCGTTTAAATAATTGTAATTAGTGTTTGAAAATAAGGTTTTATTGCATGATCTCCTGAGTAGTGGTGATGGTTGTATCTTTATCCAGTTTGTTATCAAGAGCCTAAACCCGTAATCGATGTGTCAACGCTCTTGAAAAAGAGAGTAGAAATGCCCTTAATTCACTCGGTGTATAAGTATTTTTAAAACTCCCGTATTTGGCCATTTCTCCCCCAGGTTCGTGAACTTGCGGAGACGTTAATATTAGCACTCTATCGATTTGAAGACAGAAATCAAGTTCGCCATTTAATGCCCCCGAATGATTGTAAAGCTCAACAGCATCCTCTTTATCGACGAATATTTGCAAAATTCGATAAAATTGATGGTTGCTGTGAGTCGTCTGCCATACCGCCACCTAGCCGAAATGGACAAGTTAAAAGAAGGGAGGAGGTAATGTGTTGTAATGCACAATTATTATCCAATGATTTTATGCCTTATTATTTGCGATTCCCTATGGAATTATAGGCTCCTCCTTCAAGGGCCTCAAATCAAAATCTTCAAAGAAATCAGGGCAAATCAACTGCGAGAAAACCCACTTCCCAACAAAAGAAACCTCAACAGAAACCAGAAAGGAATGTTCGACCCATATCGACAAGCGTAACCGATTGCCATCAATTGGATCTACTATTAAGTTTGGATAAGACGTGTATCTTTTGTGGGGAGCGAAATGATGATTTTACTGAGGAATCGTTGGATATTCACTATTGGAGAGCATGTCCTATGCTACGTCGATGCCCTAATTGTAAACAGGTTAGTTTTGCTTATGGTGGGACCATTTGGAAGATAAGTCAACAGATTACTGCTGGGTTTTAGTTTCTATTTTTCCTATTTCTTGTCAATATTCATATCAAATTTGTAACCCTGGTTCCATAATTTTTTTATTTCCAAGTATCCCAAACGCGGATTAAGGGTCTTAGGGATCCCCCCCCCCTCCCTTTTACATGGACAAATGAAATCCATTTGTAGGTCATCTATATGTCCCAAAATTAGGCCAACGAATAAAAAAATTTAGTATGCGAGCGAAAAGAACAAAGAATGGGTTTTTAATTACAGTGCTCTATCAGTATTGACTGGTTTTATTGAAGAAACCTTTAACATTTTTGCTTTCTTTGTCCCAGTTATGGTATGTTATACTTTCTTGTTTGTAGGCAAGTGATGCATTAATTACGACCTAATTAAAATTTCGAATTATCTTCAGACAGAACAAATGATCGAGGGGTAGGGGAAGGGGGTAATTGAAGCTAGTAAAGATCAAATGGACCCACGGTCACTATAACGAGGACGGAGGAGAGTATGTTTTTAAATAAGATGGAAGGGTTGGGTGATTTTGCGTCCTTTGTTCGGTGTTTAGCAAGAAAAAATATCGTCAACTTACAATTAGATAATTTCAGCTTTGGGTAGATAAGGGAGTATACTACAGCTTTCTCCAGCTATTAAAATTTGCTACAGAGGTGTTTTTATCAAATGACATCATTACTGACGTTTAGTAGTAATGGATTATATTTTTTCAGCGAATGCATGGTTTGACGAATGCGATTATTCTCTTATTGATTAGCACAAAAGAAGTGACTTATTTATTTTGTAGGTTGTTGAAATATCTGGCCTAACAGATCATCTACTAAGTGAGTGTCCAGAGGCAGGAAGACTGGGAGGATATCGTCGATGCGAGAGATGCAGCGAGGCTATTCCTAATGCCTCTTTCATCACTCACAACTCTTGTCGTCCTGCTCGCAATCCTAGCCTCCGATGTCCTCTTTGCCACGTTGACTTACCTGAAGACGATAGTCCAGAAATCAACAATGAGGAATCTTGGAGACAACACCTTCTGCACGAATGTAGACAGAATAGTAGAATTGTGCGACCTAGCCGAGGTAATTTTTTTTATCTAGATCTTATCAAGGGGAAATCAGGAAATCATAAATAATTTTTGATGTTATATCGTTAATAAATACCTAGAGCACTTAAAAGCGATATATCCGGTCATTTAGACTTCCATGAAACTTTGAAGGTGGTTAGCAAAGCCACCCCGATTTATTATTAGTAATATTAACCTTACATTCAAGTATTACCTCGTGAGAAATCATTTGTGCAGGCTTTAATGGGCACATGTTGACCACAATGGTAGTGGGAAGGTCATGATGAGGACTTATCAACCCGGATCGCTAGCCGTTAATCGGCATATGCTCTTTTCCAATGAGGTAACATATGCCAAGAGAAATTGAATCTTGTTTGGAGGAAATAAAGGTCAAATGAAAAAAAATGAAAGCGGTGCCCTCGATCATTATTCCTGACCACACTTTGTTGCCATAATGGTGTGCGATTTCTTGCTGGTTCTCTTTCCGTATGTTTCCCCCACTCCCTCCATCTCGATTTGTGGCTCCGTTTCTGCCTTTTACATAGATCGATCACATTGCCCTGTTTAATGGATTGTTCATATTAAGTTGTATGTAATACACGTATTATTGAAATTCAAAGATTTGGTGATATTTATCTGCCGACTTCTGATATACATCAATATGGTGGTGTTCTGGTGATTAATCATATCTTGATTTAGCATCACTAGTAGTTCCGTGCTCAAAAATTTTGAATGTCTATATTTATTTATTTCTCTTCCGGTGTAAATGCATAGTCCGACTTCACACATGCTATTTTATTTTTTTTTCCTATATCTAGAAAACTCAGTGACGTCAGCAGCTTCCGTATTTCCTGGAAGAAAAGCAATGGTGAAACGGGTTAATGCGCGCTAAGTTGGAGGCCGCTATCTTATGTAGACCTTGTGGACCTATATTTTGTGGATCATGGACCCTTTCATACCCTGTTTGTTCTCTTTTCTAACGTTCATGGACTGTACAATTCAATTTGGTATTGCCATAGTAATTTTGCACAAAATAAATGTATTACGTTTTATATTTATCTCAGGAGATTGAATGAAAAGTTATTAACTGGTAGTTAACAAAACACAACTCAGTACGTTTTTCTTTACTTTTAACGAATTCTTGTAAAGTGGAGATCAGTCACCTTTTGGAAATTGGGCTTTGGAGTTACTTTATCTAGCAGATGTGTTATGTTAGCCAATGTTCAGATCTTTAAGGAGGAACGGTGAAAAATGACGGATTTAATGATGGCTAGTTGATCATCTGGCTGAAGATGAAACAGTGACGGGAGTGTTGAAATCCATTGATTGATAATTTGAAGTTCTGATTCCGAAATTTGAGGAACCATCAGCATGACCAGAATTTTTCGCTTTGGAATCTCAGAAATCAGATGATTTAAGTAAATTATATGTTGCATAATCGCTAAAGATTGTACTTGTGAAATGCTCTCGATCTATATCGAAAACTCATTTATTTATGTTTCATATCCTAGTATGAAGATCTATCGGAAGTGGTAATGATTGATCAAATACAGGGTAAAAGGGGTAGTTAATGTTCGTACTTATAAATTCGGAATAGGGCAATATTGATTAATGATAGAGTAATTGTTTAATTTGCTTATATGAGTTAGGAAAATATTATGCAAAATATTAAAACGTAAATTTATTCAGACTGCGAAAACTGTGATGCAATAATCGTGAAAGAATTATTTAGAATAGCTTAATATAGACCAGTTATGGTTAGATACATGTCGAAAATCGTCCACATGGCGACCGTTGAAAGTGATTATCTAAACCAAAGTGATTCTAGAACAAGATAAATGTTAGCTTTGAGTGCACAAATAATGTTAATAAAGGACATTTAACTTATCAAAAAAGAATATTAGTGAAGATTATATATAACAAGATATTAGTTTTTCCGTATATAAAGTATATATCATCAATAAAATACCGAAAATATATCTTTGTAGTTTAACGTGTCGTCTCTAGTATTGGATTACCATTGTCTCTACACATTCATTACATGATTTTGGGATAATTAGTTTCTTTATTTATAATTGCATTCTACTAAACTGCATGTGAGCACGATTTTTATGAATAACGAGTTATTTCGTCATTTAAGATTAACGCCTTATAATGCAGATTCGTAATTATATAGCCCTGAATGGTATAAGTTCAAAATGGTTTTTGTTGTAATATTAGAAAGAATGAAAAGTAACTTCAAAGTATATTATATTTATTGATATTTAAATAGGATTTACAACATTAATTCGTAAGGAGATATAAAGCAATATTTATTTAATAGCTATAATAGCATATTTCATCATTTATTTGAACTGTTTTTAAGGTCATATGAAGGACTAGCTAGCGCGGCCTGTGCGTGCAGTTGCCCATGTATTTCACATAAGATTTAGCACCATATTCAAGATGTACAGAATTTCTATATTTTCCAGATCCCCCCGACAATTTCTTTATAAAACAAGATTTTATAGTAATGATCATGAACCTATTTTTAACGAAGTAAATATTCAAATGATCGACAGGCGCCTACAAAAGCAGTTGTTCTCCAAATGTGTCTCGCACTATAATACGTCTATAAAAGCCTGTGAGTACCTCCAAGTTCACGGTCTCAATGCTTATGAACGAAGACAAGTTGAAGAATCACAATATATTGATCTACCTCCTTTATATGGGACTAACATTAAACAACACTTTGATTCAATCGCAGCTGACCTATCTAAACCATACCTAGACTCTATCGGACAATTAAAATCACTTCCTGAAATGCCAACAAAGTGGCAAATGATTCCCGGTTGGACGGCTTACGTAAATGGATCCTTTTTTAAGGTCGATGTTCCTTTGGAAGATGTATTTGTGTTTGATACAGAAGTTCTCGTTACTGAAAGCTGCGCTCCTGTTATTGGCGTTGCGGCATCTTCAAATGCCTGGTATCTTTGGGTATCTCCAAGATTGATTTCAACATCCAAGCCTATGAAAACTGTTTCTATGTACGATCTTGTTCCTTTCTACTCAAGCAATGGTCAGTATTCTAACCCCAAATGTGTAATTGGCCATTTCGTTAGTTATGATCGTGCTCGAATTATGGAAGAATATCTAACAGAGGTGAGTTAGATTTGTAACTGTTTATACTTTAGCCAAGTGGTATTCGTTTTGTTGATACCATGTCTCTCCATATCTGTGTATCTGGCCTAACCAGCACTCAGAGAAATCTCAAATTAGCTTCTGACAAGCATCTTTACAATAACAAATTGTGGAAGGACTTTGTTGCGGAATACAATTCTAGGAAAGGTTCGGGTGATGCTGAGGTTTGTTTCATTCTCCTCATTCCTATGCCAATATAGTCATTAGATTGGATCAAGGATGCAAGCCTCAATAGTCTGTTGGATGTTTTCAAGTTATACTGTCAAAAGGAGCCCTACCAGACTAAAGATCTTCGTTCAACTTTCGAGAAGGGGACACGCAGAGACGTAATCGGTGACTTTCAAAATCTAGTCAGCTACTGCGCCTATGACGTCCTAATGACTTTTGAAGTCTTCCAGAATCTCTGGAAACTGTACATCGAAAGGTAGCGTTTAATTGATAACTTCTTATCGTTTATAATCAGATTTCCTCATCCCGCGACCTTTTATGGCCTTTTGGAAATGGGCAGCATGTACCTCCCTATCAATACATCCTGGATTGACTTTCAAGAACGCGCGAACAAAACCTACGACGAGTTAAATAATGGCCAAAAAACGCTGCTTCAAAAACTAGCTGAGGATGCTCTAAATCGGCATAATGGGCCCGATAAGAGCTATCAGATGGATCCCTGGCTTTGGGATCTTGATTGGTCAAAACCTAAGAGACCGGCTAATGTAAATCCCCCCCAACATATACTAATAAGATATCATTTTTTTAGAAGTCTGAAAGTGCTCTGGTGCTATCAAATCTTCCCAAGTAAATTTACCATTGACATCTGAATTATTTTATCCTACTCTTAGGTGGTATCGAGACTTGATTCCAAAACCGATGAAAGATCACTACAAAACGGGGCCTTCGTTGATAACTGCACAGATGAAAATCGCTCCAAAGCTACTTCGACTTTGCTGGAAAGGGTTGCCACTTCACTATGATAATGTAGGATTCTTAATTATTTTCTAATTACTCTTCAAGACACTAAAATGGGGAACCCTAATTCCTGGAAGGGTCCCTAAACCAGTTGGGGATCCATATTATTACGTTCAGAAAGTGGTTGACGATTCTCCAAGACGACAAATTCGTCCAAGTTTCATGGTGACTAAAACCACTGCTGCTGGAAATGAAGAACTCGTATTTCCCTATAGGGAGCATCTCCTATATTGGGAAAAGGTAATTGAGAAGCTGCTATGGGGACTTGATCCAAAAAGTGCTTTCGAATCTCGTGTGGAACCGGATCCACGAGATGATCTTTTGTTGGATGAATTGCGACGAAGTGTTGAGGTAATGCCACTTGACTTGGACACCGTGAAACGTCTCATCGACTCAATCAAGGAAATCACCGGCGATCAATCCAAGGAGCAAGTTAAAGTCGTGGTTAGTTGTGGTTTATGTATACATACACTCAGATAAACCAATAACATTCGAACCTCGCTTCGGTTGATTCATTATTACATTTTTAGCATTCTCGTACGCATTTGGTTGGCTCTTAACCCCAATCAATCTTATTTATTTTCATGAAACTAGGGCGTTATGTGACATTAGGTGAACTGTCTATTTCTTAACCTTTTGATTTTATTTTCAGAAGCCTTCGCAACTAATTTACGAAAATTTGGGCGAACTTCAAGTGAGCCCTTTTTTCTTATATCCCACAAACATGCTTATTTTTGTCACTTAATTGTGCGTCTTCTCTTATCACAGGCTAAGGGGGCATTGTTTTGGCAGAATAGAGATCGTTATGACTCGGACAATAGGTCTAAATGGATTCCCCCAAGCCGAAAAAAGAAAATACGTCGTACGGCTACTGATACGGTTAATCCAGTGATTCCAACATGCTGGTTCTGCCCTCTACCAAACGAGGTACTTCTGAACTTTTTTTTTAATATTAATATTTTCGCCTAATTTTGGACTTTTTAGCATAATCGAGTCCGTCTTTGACTTATTGCTAAACCTAATTTGCATTCTATATGACTGAGAGGTTGAATATCTTTTAATGGTCTAAATTTATTCATCAAGTAGCACCATTTCCAGACACTAGAATTATTTGTAGTAGTCAAACCGACTTGAGCTTAGGGTTACCTCATTCAAAACCGATGGTACTGTCATGGGCTAATATTGAACAGCAGTTTTCCCTATTTAGAAGACCAATGTTTGAGTGTGATTGCTCAAAGCATTGAAAAAGAGGAAGTTCAGTAAATGGAGAATTAGAAAAAATTTGTGAAATAGACAATGGGCATGCCCGCAGTTTGGACGAGAAGTTGGTTGGGTTTTAAGAACAAAATTATTATACACTAAGTGGATTTGGCTGTTTTGAGTCCTTTGTTGGCCAGTTGAGCAACAAATAAGAATCAGCTGAAAATAGAGATTGAGCAGACGCATGAGTCAACTTCTCCGGCTGATACAGCTTTCGAAACATGTAAAGATTAGGCATTCTTTCTTTTACAATTCGCTATTTTTCAAGTGCTCTTGATTGATGGCCATTATATCTCTCCCCCCCCCCCCCCCGAGACATCGTTGAATGCGCCTCCTTTCAGTAATATAATTGAATGTAGAAGTCTTTGTTTTTTCCTAGAACTGTGAACATCTTTTCTTGAGCTCTACTAATTGGTAATGGATTTCAATTTTCAATTGCATTAATTGTACTAGATGCTTTCTGAGATGCTTCCTTTGTTCTTCTAACAGAAATCCCCCCTCTCTCTCTCCTTTTTCTGAGTCGGATCTCTTAATGGTCGAGTGTCCATTCTATAATGCATCCCACGATATCTTTTATTCAGCACAGTTCCTTGTTTTTACTTGTGTTTTAATAAGTACGCGTATGTGAGTAGGGGGGGGGGGTAAAAACCACGCACAGGCTTCAATAAATTGGTTATAGACCAGTAATAAATCGGAAACGAAACCGCACTCATGATTGGATGCCTATTTATATGACGCTGCGGTGACATTCCTTGTGTGGGCATTTACGCCTCACCACACTGAGTACAAATATGCGACAATGGGGTGAATGAGTTCGTATTTAACTAGACCTTAATTCACTACGTATAGTACTTATGTCTGTAACAATGTTAATTTCATTATAAGCTACTTATTTATTATATTGACTTTTCGAAACTAGTCTTCACTATAATTGAAATCTCAAGTCAATAGTGAAGAGGAATTTTATTAGTTACCAAGGTGAAGGCGTGAGTGAAGGCAATTAGTGTATTGATTATCCTTTATTTGTTTTTAGGCTGGGACAGGATTGCCAGTAGGCTCGCCACTGTCAAAACCCTTCCAAGTTCACATTGCAGCTGGTCGGCTACACAGCGCCTCGTGGGATGCCGAGGGGGGACCGGATAATACCGCCGATCAGATCCTTCGAGATCGTATTCGGGCCTCATTTTGGCAGAGCTACTCAAAGCGTGTCTGGTTAGTTCGCATTTCTTTTCCTTACCGTCTTGAGTTCTCTTCATACTGATGACCTGATAACATTTCGGTTTCCTAGTGCTCAAATGTACGTTTTCTTGGAGAACAATATGCTTCCACCCTCAGTTCAAGTGTAAGCATACTTTTTATTTTGATGATTATTAATTTCAACTCACTTTTAATCTCCCCATTTCATACAATATTTTCTCTCTCTAAGAATACGTATCTGGTAGGTTGAAACTCATCTAGTGGAAATGCCTTCTAATGCTCGCCTCGACCGAAACAGTATCATTCTGAAGCCCCTTCTGATAAGAACTTCGAATTATGCTAATTCTTTTCACCCGTCTTACTCGGGGGGATTGCTTATGCCCTTCTCCCAATAAATATTGACTAAGTATAGATATGTACGTCGATCACGATACAACATCAATATCTGCCTAATTTTTCTTCTACTTGGTCTTCTTGATGTTTGTCATTGTCTAAGTTAGAGGCCTACCTCTATTGGTCATCTGTTTCGATAAAAGAAATTTTCTCTTGTAAAATTAGTGCTTAATTTAATTGTACTAAGGGGTTGACTAATCCCGCAGATCTACTTGTTTCGGCAAGATACTTGTCTGCAAAATCGAATATTTTCGTTATCATGATACTTAAATAAAATGGATTATGGACTTTAAAAAATTGTCATTCGAATCGTAGGTCGCATTGATGATGATTTTAGAATTCTGACACATAATTTGGAAGTGCGTATCAATGGCACCGTCCCTCCTACCTCTTCAAGTATGCTTTAATAAAGCATATTTAGATTTCTATTTGCAAGGCCATACTAAATTTGATTCATTTCAAACCTACCGTTGGTTTATAAATTGCTGTTATATTATTTCTTTTACCTTTTGAAATTTAACTAGCATCCAATGGTGCTGTACGCAGTAGTCGAAAGCATATCTAGCTCTTGAGGAGATAGGAGTTATTTGTCGTAATTGAAGTATATCGGGTATTGAGAAAATTCTTGAACTCCACCCTCACTGAAAGTGCTTATCTTCTGAATATGCTGAAATGGTTTATTATTTATTTATTTATATCAAATGGCAGGCGTTTTGATAGTTATCATTAGCCCTCTAGCTGACTTCGGGCTTCACAGAGAGAAGAAGGAACATCAAAGTGACAAAAATTCGAGAGGGGGCAGAATAATGATTCACAGATGTAACAGAGACAGACAAAAAGGCGGATAGAAGGTAAGATGAGTACTGCGAAGGGGTCGAATATGACAAATTGTCGGGCCATAGTAGTTTGAGGTCAGAAGTCAACTGCCGATCAATAGACTTTTTTGCCGTATAAGTATGCGTTGCCCAGGGTGCACCACGTGGAGGTAAGTCTATTGCGCACCCCGAAATGGTTTATTATAATAGTTGAAANGTGCGCGATATACTTACTTCAATGGGGTACACCCTGGGCAACGTATACTCATACGGCAAGAAGTCTATAAACTGGCATTTGACTTCTGACCTCAAACTACCATCACCCCACTGTATGTCATATTCGACCCCTTCCTCAGTATTCATCTTACCTTTTCCCTGTGTCTGCCTGTTTGTCTCATTTACATCGGCGAAGCATAGTTCTGTCTCTCCTCTCGAATTTTTCTCACTTTGATGTTCCTTCTCCTCCTCTCTGTGAAGCTCGAAGTCAACTAAAGGGCTAATGATAACTATCAAAACACCTGCCATTTGAAAAAAAAATAGTTCTGATATTTGAAGTTGTTGGTATCGTTAATTGAAGCGAAGGAGGTACAATCGATAAATATAAAATTCAAAACTCTTTCTCAGGCTACTTAGTTGAATTCTTTCCCCACGTTTTTACATGTCATGTGCAAAAAAATATACTGATTATTTTTAGTATTAAAAAAGCTTTTCTTTCGAAGAAGCAGCATGTGTCATGACAACCATCAACATTTGCTCTCTCTCTCGTTAATGAGAAGTACAAACAAGGATCATATTCCTATTTCAGACAGACTTTCGGATATTAATAGAAATAACTTGAACAACAGCTCAAAATAAATGTGACAAAAATAGAAAATGGCAGAAAAGTCAGAATTCACTTTTCCCTGGCATTTATGCCATATTGAAAATGAAATATCACTTATATTGAAACGTTGGAAAAGTTGGCTCTACATTGTTAATAAATAAATGAATTCAAATGATCAAGATATGTGGGTATCAAATTTAAATTTTAATAAGGTTCCAGGCCCCCCGGATTATTGATTGATCTATTTAATAAAATACTTAATTGTGTTGAAGAATTTGTCGAATTTTTCAAACAATTCAATTTCATTAATTTGCCATCAAACTACTTGGCTCATGCCTCTAACGTACTTTTAAATCCGTGCAGATTCGAAGTTCGTCACAATTCGGTGATCGAACTGTTCAGAATATCGGCCTCCTCATATTTGGACAAATTACCCACTTTACACTGATAAATTTAGAAAAGTTGTGGAGGAACCTGAGCTTATTCTAGAGAAGTTTAAATGAATTTGAAGGATAAGGTAAATAATGGCTCGCTAGACATTGATTATTTAAGTGTATTTGAAGAGACTCCCTTCCCACATTTGGACAACAAAGTTCATTTGAAAACAAAATGGCGTAAGTGCGTTATTAAATTATTTTTACATTTTAAGTTTGCTTTATAGCATTAAAAGGGTGTTATTCGCCAGTATTAGGCATAAAGCAGGAGACTTATAGAATTCAATAGTAGTTTATTTATTTATTTATATCAAATGGCAGGCGTNTTGCCCAGGGTGCACCACGTGGAGGTAAGTCTATTGCGCACCCCGAAATGGTTTATTATAATAGTTGAAAACTAAAGGAAAAATAAGCAGTCCAGTTTTTTGGACCTCCTTAACTCTGACACACTATGACTCTTTTTGCTTTTATTCAAACCCATTTCACAGTGCATTAGACGAAGTTTCGTCAAATGGCAATCTCCGACGCTATGGGGCAATAGTGCCACAAGTGATTGCAGCGGGAACGATATCACGACGTGCTGTGGAACCCCTTTGGCTCACTGCCAGTAATGCAGAAGCCGAGCGTCTGGGGAGTGAGATAAAGGCGATGGTTCAGGCACCACCTGGTTTCTGTCTTGTTGGGGCTGATGTGGACTCTCAAGAGATGTGGATCGCCTCCCTTATCGGTGACTCTGTCATTGGTTTCCAAGGTAAAGTGGCGTTCCCTTTTTGCGGGCTAATTTTGCAAGTTTACAAATTTCATTTTTACCAAGATCGCGACCTCCTGAGTCTGTGAACTTAGCCCAGATGATTGAAATCTTTGCTAATATTTGCATGCAATTAGTACTATTCCTCTACTCGTCCTAGCGATTTTTTTTTCGTATCTCAATGGTGTTGTTGGTGTTTATTCGGTCTGAATGTAAACTAAGGATAGAGTATAATTAACCAAGACGTTGCATTTGTCTTAGAAATAGTAAGCTTTGAAGGAATAGAATATCTCATTCTTTTTTATCATTTAAGCGGATAAAGCGAAAGTTTACAATCTCAAATTAATTCACCTCTGCCACCCCTCTCCCCTCCCCCCCCCTCTCCGGGTCAGGTCTACCAACAAAGTTGGTCATAAATTTCTATGCACTTTCACCCCCTCAAATCACAAACAAATCAATTTTCCGGATTCTTAAAATATGAGAGTCTACTATTTACAATTGGTCCAAAAAGTAAAATAATATTCGCTTTCTGAAATTGTCGTAACGCGCAATCGCTTCTGTGGAATATATAAATTATTTCATTCTAGAACTCCATAGTACTCACAGAATTACCCCCAAAATAGTCCTTACTAAGTGAAAAGGGAGATTCATGAGACTGAATTCTTACTATTCACTCTATGCCCTTCCTGACAAATCATGTTGAATTCTATTTTCTTTGTGATGTATACGAGGTTTATATCAAGCGTCTTTTGGTCAATTTCCAATCACATCTCATAAATGCCTTAATTTGGATAAAGGTAGTGGCCCAAATCGGTTTAAGTTTGCCCTATATTAAACATGCTTAATGTCTGTTCTTTGAATATAGGTGGAACGCCTTACGGCTGGATGACACTGGAAGGCAGTAAATCTAAGGGCACGGACCTCCACACAAAAACTGCCAATCTCATCGGCATCAAACGTAATGAAGCCAAAGTGTTGAATTACGCTCGTCTCTATGGTTCTGGATTGGAGTTCACCAAACATCTTCTTTCAAAATTTCAATCAAATCTAAGAGTATGACTTTTTTATCTTTTCTCAATCTGGTATATCTGTTATTTGCAGCAATGGCCACAGCATATTTTGCCATTAATTTAACCTATAATGCTGTTCGGTTTCAATGACCCGGTGGCTAGTGAGTGGCATAATCCATTATAGTTTTTAAAATTTTGTCCGGAAGGGAATTATGAAATTAGGATTTTAAAGATTTTAAGAAACCAAGATGACTTATGCGCCTACAACGGACTTTTAAGTTCATGGGTGTTTTACGCCTGTTTTGGTACATGATTTTGAGCTTATCAAACAGGACCCATGATTTATTGGTTTGGCCAATGCCTATTGAGAAGTAGGTATGATGTAAATCGAAATGCAGGACAATCCTTCTTCGAGTTGAATTGAGGAGATAACCAATTGGCTGGCATGTTCTGGAATTTACTAGAATACTCTCTGGAAGATCACAAAACAATTATCAAAAAAGAGAAATCGAAATTCCCACACGGATGCAATGAGACCAAATTTCAAGCCCCCCGCTTCAGTCGTGATATTGCCATCAGTGATATATCAAATGGTCGACCTCGGTTGACTGCAAAAATTATATATATATTTTAATAATTTAAAGGCGTCCGTCTATTAATATTATTCGCAAATTGGTCTTTACTCTAGCCCGAGGAGGCCAGCATAAAGGCTGAAAAGTTGATGCGGGCTACTAAAGGCCAACGAGTTCCTATTCAATCTCCAGAAAGCAACTCGGAGATGAAGTATATGTGGAAGGACGGCACCGAGTCCTACGTATTCAATGCTCTTGAAGCAATTGCTCGAAGTCCCGAGCCACGAACGCCCGTTCTTAGCGCTCAGATAACTCGAGCCCTAACTCCTCAGGCTGTTAAAGGCGATGTAAGTTTGATCTCCGTTTCTAATGTGCTTAATCACACCACGATTGAGCGACCAACTTTTGTTCTGCTATCTTGTAGTTCCTTCCAAGTCGAATCAACTGGGTGGTTCAAAGTTCAGCTGTGGACTACCTTCACTGCATCTTGGTATTCATGGCCTGGTTAATTCGGAAGTACAATCTTCGTGCTCGGCTTTGCATTAGTATTCATGATGAAGTGCGATATCTATGCGATCAACGCTGTGCTGATCAAGTCGCCCTTGCTTTACAAGTTAGTCATTGAATCCATTCATCCATTCATTGTTTCAGTCTCAATAGATATTTTGTGCTAGTTACCAGATAGGTAGTCAAATGAGGATTCTCTTGCTATGAAGGGAAATATTTTTTCTCTGAGCGATCGAGCCTTGACCCTTTTTCCTTTAGCTAAACTTAAAATGCACCAAACTGCCAATATTGTAGTGGTTCTAATAACTTTCCTTCATAGAAAGACCCTTTGCGCTAAATTGGTTCCAACCGAATGCCCTAGACAACAGCATTAATGATGACAATAATAATAATAAACCTTCTATCAATTAACTTTTTCTTCTGCTTCCGTTAAGAACCATTTAATGCCTATTATAATAACAAATTATTAGTCTGGAAATGGTATGATTACGGATATTTAAATTTACTATGGCGGACATGACCAGCCTGTCACAAAGGCCATGCTAATATAAGCCGACTTTGGTTAGAGATGAGGCAAAGGAGACTTCTTTTAGTTGCTCTCTTTGTTTTCACGACTCTTCTACCAGTATTTGAACTGTCGCGGTGATTCTCTATGATTTTTTTTCGGCCAGAGAGTAAAGAGTGCCTCCTAAGTACCCGATAGCATTGGAACAACAAGTAGTGAGAGTGGATTTGTTGAACAATAATTCAGCGTGTGATTCCGTAGGAAGCCCACTGTCTGCAGTACTACTACTTGCTACCAAAAGGCAAGAGTAAGAATTAACAAGGGTCCTTTAATGTATAATGCAATGTGAACACTAGTAGTCTTTTTTTCAAATCAAAGCTGAGCGTGTGTGTGTGTCTGATTAGCCTTTCTTCATTCTGAATCGAAATTTTTAAATAAACGAGCGAAACCCTGCTGTAAGTTCATCTCACGGTTAGTGCTTCTCGAAGTCGAAATTGTTCCATCAGTGGAGAATCTAAAAATGATCTTTAGAGACTTAATCGTGTACCAGAATGCATTAGCATCGGAAGTTAGCTATCTTGATTCAGTAAAGACCACCTCTAGCCGAGTTCTTAATTCCAAAGTTCCAACTCATCATCATCATCAGCAGTCGAAAGCTTGTTTGATTCTAGGTATTCACTTCTTGCTGCTTTTATTCAATCCAAATATTTTGTAGATAAGCAATCTGCTAACCCGAGCACTCTTCGCCTTCCAATTGGGTATGCATGATCTGCCAGAGGTAACGTGTTTTTTCCCACTGCAATCCTTTCTTTTACTGGCAAAACAAGACCTCTCTGCATATAATGTGTCCTTTTCACTCTGTTAGTCGGTGGCTTACTTCAGCTCTGTGGAGATCGACACTTGCCTGCGAAAGGATCCACTGAATGATTGTAAGACGCCTTCAAATCCAGATGGGTTGGAAATCACTTATGGCATTCCTAAAGGTTAGCTTAGTTGTACATGCTTATTGCAATCGTTATTGCTGCCTTCTTAAACTTCTATGATTTCTTTTCTTTTCAGGTGAATCTTTAACCGTATCCGAAATCATTGAACGGACAGGCGGTTCTATGAAGCCATTTGATGACGAAGAGGGAGAACCGTCGACTAAAGCTTGCAAAACTTCAACTTGAACACAATTTTGCCCTATTGCATAGTTGATGACTGGGAGTTTTACAAGATCTTGTATATTCCGCCTTAATGTTTTAACAATTTTATTAAGCGAATAGCGAATTACTTTTCTAGGAATGATTTATCTTTCCAAGGCACGAAGACAAGTAGGTACTAGCAAATTTTTGGATTGTGCTCGCTTGCCACGGGTTCCACACGCACACACACATCCACCTGGTAAAAGGGTGGCCGGATTCGAGTTTCTTACCAAGAAGGCTTATAATGTCACTCCCCTTCCTTCTCAAGCTGAGTTCTGGAAAATGTTTCCTAGGGGAGGGGGAGGGGGG